GGAATGCTCATCCAGTTGGGACAGCTTGAGTCATAAAATGACCACTAATGACCACTTTTCTTTTGCTTAGCTTTTCTTCTTTCTTTGCTGCATTTTTCAAACACTCTGATCATAATTATCACTGAAAACATGCTTCCTTGATATTTAACCCGTAGGTTTAATCAAGTGTTTCATACATGGAAGGATCTATCAAGAAATACTATCAACCCAAGCAATGATCATGGCTGAGGAGATTACGTATGCATTCCAAAAGTTTGATCTATCAACAAAGGAGATATAGGGCATTGACTTGAGTCAGGATGATGTGGAAGCTAGCACTAAAGAATGCTGATTAAGTTTGGTTGGCAAGATCAATGGGGAAAAGCTGGCAAATTTTATTGGGATAAAAAGCTTCGCCAACCATGTTTGGGGCTACCCAAGAAATCTGAGAATAACTGAGTTAGGGACAAATTTATTGCAGTTCCACTTCATATCAGATGTTGACAAAAAGAAAACCTTAAATGGGAAACCTTCGATATATATTCGATAGCCAACTGCTGGTAATTAGAATATAGGGTGAAAGAATGGACTAGGAGGGATAAATGCGCTTCGTGCGATGAAAATGTAAAATGTCCTGCCTAATTTTGAAGCAATGAAAATTGTAATTTATGTAGAAAAAGTTCTTTTTTAGTATAGGCATTTCACAAGTTTAGATAGTTAGAGCCACTGTTTTACCAGTGTTTGGTAAGGAAAAAATTCCTATTAACCTGAAAAATGGAGTTACTGATTTTATTTGTGATATTTTTTATGTTCTTGGGCTTAGGGGTGGGCAAAAAATCCAATATGATCTAACCCGACCAACCCGATCCGAAAAATAGGATATTCGATCCGATTTTTTTTGGCGGGGCAGATGCGGGTCGGGTACCCACAAAAACGGATACGGATACGGATCAGCAAAATAAAAACCCGCGGGTACCCGACTAGCAGGGTATATTATATAAATATTAAAAAAATAAGGGTTCATTATATAATTTTATAATTTTTAATCCTAAGTGTAAGTAAAGTAGTTCACAATCTCATATTTTAATCTCATATGATCCAACTCTTCTCATTTTGCCTAAAAAAAGTGAATATTCTTGGTGAAACCTGAACCAAATGAATAAAACAAAGAAAAATTTGTGAAACTCTATCATAAAAATTGTTCATCCCTTTCATCCATTTTCATTTTTATTTTACTTTCATCGATCTTTTCTGCAAATTTTTTATCAATTCAATCAAAAATTTGTGTTTGGAGCTCCAATTTTCTGTTAGCTAGATAATTAAAACATTTGTGTTTTTCATTTATTTATTTATTTTATTGCAATTGTGTCTCTTAAATTTGTTTCCTTTATTTTAGTGCAAGAAATTTATTTTTCTTTTTCATTACCTTTAATGCAACAAGGTCTATTCCAAAGATGTAAGAAAGTTGGGGAAAATTTTTCGAGATTATTTTGGTTATATTTTCTTCAAAAATTATTAGCTCTGTTCAATTCTTTTCCGGACTTGATTCCACAATCGACTCATTTTGGATGCAATCTTGTACCATAATATCCTTAAGGAAGTTGGAAAAGTTGCCATATACTTATTATTCTTGTGTTTATTATGTTGTAAAAGGATGAAATGCGTGAGAATGGTGATGTACTCTGTCAACAGGTATCTTGGGAGGAAAACATCTAGTCACTATATTATGAGTGACCAACTAGTATTTATAGGAGTACAACCCTAACAAACTATTTACAAAAATACCCTTACTAATTTATTATCTACAAGAATACTTATATTCTCTTAACACTCCCCCTCAAGTTGGAGCATATATATCATAAGCACCCAACTTGTTACAAAGGTATTTCACCCTAGAGCCCCCTAAGCTTTTGGTAAACACATCAACCAATTGATCTACAGACGGTACATGAGATGTCTTGATGACCCCGTCAAGCAATTTCTCTCGAATGAAATGACAATCAACTTCAATATGTTTTGTCCTTTCATGAAACACTGGATTAGACGCAATATGAACAGCCGCCTGATTATCACACACTAAATTCATAGGCTGTTTATGTTCAAACCCAAGTTCAAGTAACATGCTCTTCAACCAAACCAACTCACACACAGTGTGAGCCATAGCGCGGTATTCAGATTCTGCACTTGATCTGGATACAACTGTTTGCTTCATACTCTTCCACGACACTAAATTACCACCAACAAACACACAATATCCTGTAGTCGATCTTCGATCTGAGGCAGAACCAGCCCAATCTGCATCACTATATCCTTCAATATCAGTGTGTCCATGATTTTGATACAGCAACTCTTTTCCAGGAGCACTCTTAAGATACCTGAGAATCCGTATAACAGCATCCCAATGACTAGTACGAGGGGTATCAAGAAATTGACTCACAACACTCACTGCAAACGAAATGTCAGGTCTCGTTACAGTGAGATAATTTAATTTACCCACAAGTTTTCGATATTGCTTAGGATCATCAAGTAATGCACCTTGATCTCCTGCTAATTTCACATTGGGATCCATAGGAGTATCCACAGGTCGGCAACCTAACATCCCAACTTCACTCAACATATCGAGTACATATTTCCTTTGACATAAATAAATCCCATATTTAGACCGAACTACCTCAATACCCAGAAAATACTGTAAATGACCTAAATCCTTTGTCTGAAAGTTTACCTGCAGATTGGATTTAAGCTTCTGGATCCCCACAACATCATCACCTGTAATCACAATGTCATCCACATAAACAACTAATAAAATTTTACCAGCATTAGAATGCCGATAAAATACAGAATGATCTACTCCACATCTTGTCAGACCGAACTCCATGACAACACTACTAAACCGGCCAAACCAAGCTCTCGGAAACTGTTTCAATCCATATAAGGATTTTTTCAAACGACAAACCAACCGCGGATTCTCCCCCTGAACAACAAATCCAGGAGGTTGTTCCATATATACCTCTTCTTCCAAATCTCCATGCAGAAATGCATTTTTCACATCCAACTGATGCAATGGCCAATTATAAGTGGCTGCCAAAGAGATAAGAAGACGAACAGAGGTAATCTTTGCAACAGGAGAAAATGTTTCTAAGTAGTCCACTCCATACACCTGAGTAAATCCTCTAGCTACCAGACGAGCCTTTAATCTATCAATAGAACCATTAGGCTGCACTTTTATAGTGTACACCCATTTACAACCAACAACAGGCTTACCTGAAGGACGAGGAACAAGATCCCAAGTACCATTTTGTTCCAAAGCAGACATCTCTTCTTGCATGGCTAATCTCCAACCAGGATGATTAAGAGCATAGGTAATAGACTTAGGAATGGAGATAGAATCAAGGGAAGCAACAAAAGAAGAATATGACATAGAGAGATGAGAATAAGAAACAAAATTAGAAATAGGATGGGAAGTACAATGTCTCTTACCTTTGCGTAAAGCAATAGGAAGATCTAACTCAGAGGAGGGCGTCATACCTGGATTTGAAGAGTGAGAGTTAATTGGTGAAGTGCGTGGCATATCAGGAACTTTCTCAACCATGGAACGACGAGAGTAAACTTGAAGATGAGGACGAGATAATCGAGCTATGGAATCTGGTGGATTAGATAACGCAGGTAATAAAGGGGAAGGGACTGGTAAAATAGGAGAGGAAAAAGAGTGACACTGGTCTAACTCACAAGACATACTTTGTTTGATAAAATATGGAGTGGATTCAAAGAAAGAAACATCAGCACAAGTAAAAAATCGATTTAAAACTGGACTGTAACATCTATACCCTTTTTGCGCTCGTGCGTATCCTAAGAAAATACACTTAATAGCACGAGAATCTAATTTATCCACCCCGGGAGCAAGCTGATGAACAAAGCACACACATCCAAAAATACGAGGAGGCAATTTAAACACAGGTTCATGTGGAAAAAGAATGGAGTGAGGTAATTGGCCTCCAAGAATAGTAGATGGCATGCGATTAATTAAATAACATGCAGTTAGAACTGCATCACTCCAAAATTGTTTGGGCACATTCATGTGCAACATAAGTGTCCGAGCAACCTCGATTAAGTGTCCAATCTTTCTTTCAGCAACTCCATTCTGTTGTGGAGTGTGAGGACAAGAGGACTGATGAATAATACCGGACTTAATCATGAAGGTATTAAAAGGAGTGGAAAAATATTCTTTCGCATTATCACTGCGAAGTATACGTACAGATACACCAAATTGATTCTTTATTTCTGTAACAAATGCACAAAAAATGGAATATAGTTCTGAACGATCTTTCATTAAATAAAGCCATGTAACTCTTGAAAAATCATCAACAAAGATTACAAAATATTTAAAACCTAACTTTGAAGTGACTCGACTAGGACGCCAAACATCAGAATGAACTAACAAAAAGGGTTCCGAAACCCGTTTATTGACCCTAGGGGCAAAAGAGACACGATGATGCTTTCCTAATTGACAAGACTCACATTCTAATGAAAACAACTGATTCAAGGTAGGAACCAACTTCTTCAAATTTTGTAGAGACGGATGACCCAAACGACAGTGAATTTCAAGAGGAGAAACAGTAGCAGGACACGCAATCGGACCATTAGAGTTGAGAAAATAAAGACCATTATGCTCGCGCCCTCCACCAATCGTCCTCTTTGTCTTCAAATCCTGAATAACAACAAAATCAGGAGAAAAAATAACTGAACACTGTAGAAATTTGGTAAGCTTACTAACGGACATTAGATTAAAAGGCAAATTTGGTACGTAAAGAACAGAAGGCAGCGGAAGAGATGGGTTAATTTCTACAGTGCCTAGTTCTTTAACTTTAGTTGTAGATCCATCAGCTAAAGTAACATGAGGGAAGGAAGTAGACTCTTGAAAATTAGAAAAATTTCTAGAGGTACCTGACATATGATCAGTAGCTCCGGAATCAATGATCCATGAGTCAAAATTTTTGGAAGTGGAGAGACAAGCCATAGCATTACCTTTTTGTGCTAAAGAAGCATAGGGAAGAGATGCGTGATTTGCAGTTTGGTACTGCAGAAATTTGACATAATCTTCCTCGGATATGGTAACAGTTTTCTGGGACCCTTGTGCTGAAGAACTTGATTCAGCTTGGTCAATGGTAACCGCATTAGCAAACCGAGGTGGTTTTCCATGTAAATCCCAACAAGTATCATGAGTGTGATTCTTCAAACCACAATGAGTGCACTCACGGGTGCCTCGACCTCCGCGACCCCCACGACCTCCTCTACTTCTTCCTCCACGAGAGCCACGTCCCAAGTTAAGTTGCTCTATCCGACCATTGTTAGCAACTAACGCAGATTTGTCATTAATTAGAGCACCATCACCCTGTACTTTGTCCTTAGATGCAGAACGTAAGACCCGAGCATATGCCTCTGCAAAGGATGGTAATTGTTCACCTGCTAAAATTTGAGATTTGATTGGTTCAAATTCTGGTTTGAGACCGGCCAAGAATTTGAGCACAAGCATTTGTTCTCTTTGCCTCTGCATAACTGTAATATCACTTGAGAGAGGCATTACGGCATTTAATTCTTCTGAAACTCGCTTCAGATCAGCAAAGTATTCAGTTACTGTCTTGTTATCTTGTTGCAACTGAAAATACTCCAAAGAAATATCATACATCCGTGAAAGATTACTACAGTATAATAACCGGACATAATCCCAAACTTCTTTTGTTGTCTCACAATGAGAACACATGTAAGCAATTCGTGGCTCCATAGAATTCCATATTGCTCCAAGAATTTGGGCATCCTCTTGAATCCACACTAGTTTCTTGTTGTCCTCCGTAGGAAAGTCATCTGTGAGATATCGTTGCTTTCCTAAGCCTGTCAGATAAATTTTAACGGCTTTTGACCACTGTTGATAATTAGTGTCATTCAACTTCCAATTTGTGATTTGAGACATCACCATTGGCATAATATTAGTAGACGTCACAATACCTTTTGATAGACTTTCAGCCATAGCGAATAGCACTCCAAACCAAACGAAGGGTCAAAACTCGAGATGAAACAGCGCGTGAACAGTACCGTGAACAGTGCTGTGAAACAGTAACCGATGAACAGTGTCACGTGAACAGTGCCGTGAACAGTACCCGATGAACAGTGTCCCCGCGTGAACAGTCGCGGTGAACAGTATCGCGTGAACAATCGCGATGACCAAAACTTTTGCTAGATGTTTAACCCTAACCCTAGGACTTTTGCTCTGATACCATGTCAACAGGTATCTTGGGAGGAAAACATCTAGTCACTATATTATGAGTGACCAACTAGTATTTATAGGAGTACAACCCTAACAAACTATTTACAAAAATACCCTTACTAATTTATTATCTACAAGAATACTTATATTCTCTTAACATACTCAAAATTATCATAAAATTTCGTTTTATCCTTGTGTTTGTTATACTTGGAAAAGTTGAAAAAGTTGCCATATACTTATTATCCTTGTGTTTGTTATGTTATATAGAAGGAAGAAATGCGTGAGAATGGTGATGTACTCAAAATTATCATAAAATTTCGTTTTATCTATTAGATATTAAATTCTAATATGTACTAAATTTATGAAATCGATTTGATTATTGGATGAAATGTGTAGAATGGTGATGCATGGATTTTGATTATAATATCTCTACCAATGTTAATTGGAAAGCATACATTTTTTTATTGGAAAACATGTTGATATTAAGTGAAAAATATTTTTTTATTGGAAAATAGTTTTTTTTTTTTAGGGACAGGTACCCTATGACCCGCCCCTTTTTTTCGGGTACCCGAAAACATTAGGAGCGGGTTAGGGTCGCAAAATGGCTGATCCGATGTTTTAGGGTCGGGTCAGCCAAATCTTGTTAAGGGCGGGTACCCGATCCATGCCCACCCCTACTTGGGCTACCTCATAATTTATTGAGCATGGGTCAATTGTCGGAAAAGAAATATGATATTTGCATCCAGAATGTTGTACTATTTTTTATTAAAAAAAAATCTGGAATGGTTACCAGCATGTCAATGACTCCAAATCACTTATTTTCATTGAATTTGAATATTAAAAATTTTCCGTATCTAAATACAGTGATAGATGATAATAATTGGCTGTAGCATATGAGATTTATGCATTTAAATTTTGACAGTTTGAGATTTTTATCTAGTAAAAGAATGGTTGATAGGCTGTCTAGTATCAGAAATCTTGACATAATTTGTGATATATGTATTTTGAAAAAGCAACACAGGGATGTTTGTCAGATAGGTGAATCCTAGAGAGCTAGAAGACCATTGAAAATTATTCATTTAGATTTGTACACTATGGAGGTTGCTTCTAATGGTGGCTGTAGGTATTTTATTATTTATATTAATAATTTTAGTAGAGAAACTTGGGTATATTTTTTGAAATAGAAACCTAATGCACATGAAACCTTTAAGATATTTAAGACTTTGTAGAGAAGCAAAATGGATGTCAGATTAAAATTTTGAGAACCGACATGGGCCAAGAATATTTTGTGTGTGATGATTTTCTTGAGAAAAATGGTATTCAACATCAATTGATTGCTGCTAAGTACACTCCACAACAAAATGGAATGACAGAGAAGAAGAATAAAACAGTTATGGATATGGTGAGATGTCTGTTGAACTTGAAAAGTATACCAAAATCTTTTTGGACAGGGGCCGTGGTTTGTGTTGTATATTTGTTGAATAGGTGTCCCACTAGAAGTCTTCCCGATAAAATCGCTAGAAAAAGTTTGGAGTGGTAGATGACCATTTATTGGGTATCTCATTGTATTTGGGTGCATTGCTTACTCTCATGTTCCTGATTAGTTGAGGAAGAAACTTGATTACAAGGGCGAGGATGTGTATTTATTGGCCATAGTGAAGTTTTGCAAGCTTACAAATTGTACAATCCTGTGACAGAGAAGGTGATAGTAAGCAGAAACGTAACTTTTGATGAAAGAGGTATTTGAAACTAGTCTACTAGAGATCTCAAAACAATAAAAGTGACTCTAAAGTATTAGGAATAGGAGGTTAATAATGATATTCAACCATCACCAATTGTTCAGGGTCTACAAACTGAATTAACTAAATGTCCATAGTATCAGCTGCAAATGCTAGATTGTTTGTAAGATTATGTGATTACATCAGATGATGTTCCTTCTGACAAAAATATCATTAATTTTGCTTTATTTACAGATTGTGACCCCATGTGTATAAGGAGCTAGTTCGTGATGATCGTTGGGCAAAAGCAATGGAAGAAGAAACTCATGCCATTGAGGAGAATGACACATGAAAACTTATTTCTTTTCTAATTGGTAAAAATGTCATTAGAGTGAAGTGGATGTATATGACAAAATTTAAATCCAATAGAGAAGTTGATAGGCACAAGACGAGATTAGTGGCAAAAGGATACAAGCAGAAGCTCAGAATTGATTATTTTGAGGTGTTTGCTCTTGTTGTCAGATTTGACACAATATGTATGATAATTTCTCTAGTTGCCCAGAATAATTGGAGAATTTATCAAATACATGTCAAGTCAGCTTTCCTGAATGAAGTACTCAACGAAAAAATATATGTGAAATAGTCAATAGGATTTGTTAGAAGATATTAGGAAAATAAAGTGTATAGATTGAAGAGAAACTTGTATGGATTGAAACAAGTTCCGAGGGCATAGTATACGTTTTTCTATTTTCTTACTCGTGGTTTTCAAAGATGTCCATATAAGCACACTCTATATATCAAATCTTTTGTCCGTTGTGACATTCTTATTGTGTGCTTGTATGTAGATGGCCTAATTTTTAAAAAAAAAAATAATCCGAAAATGATTGTAGAATTGAGGGAGGCCATGATTAAGCAGTTTGAGATGACAGATATGGGACTTATGTCGTATTTCTTAGAAATTGAAGTTTTTCAATCTGACTATGGGATTTTTATTTCTCAAAAGAAGTATGCATGAGACATTTTGAAAAAGTTCTAGATAATTACAATGAAACCAATTATGACACCAGTTAAAGCAAATTTTATGTTGACTAAAGAGGGTATTGATGGATATGTGAATCCCACTTTCTTTAAAAATTTGGTAGGCAGTTTGAGATTTTGACGTCTACGATGCTAGATATCAATTTTCCTATTGGTTTGATTAGCAGGTTTATGAAAAATCCATGTCAGTCATATTTGCAGGTGGCTAAGAGAATTTTGAGATACATTGGAAGCACTAGAAGTGATAGTATTTTTATCAGGAAATTATCCAATTAAGTTGTTTGGCTACACAAATAGTGATTGGATAGGTGATACAGTTGAAAGGAAGAGTATTTTAGGGTATGCATTTCTTATTGCTTCTCGACTGTTTTCTTGGAGTTCTAATAAGCAACAGATAATTGTATTGTTTACAACGAAGACGGAGTATATTGCAGTGGCTAATAGTACAACTTAGGTTTTATGATTGTGTCACATGCTTGATGTTCTATAACACAAGCAGATTGATCGTATGAAAAGTTATTGTAACGGTAAGTCGGAAATTGAGTTGTCAAAAAATCCAGTTCTCGATGGATGTAGCAAACACATTGATATCAAACATTGCTTTATACGTGAGTTGGTTCGAGAGACGGAGATTAAGATTGACTATTGCAGAATTGAAGAACAAGTGGCAGACATTTTCACCAAGACGTTGAAAACTGAGACTTTTGTGAAGTTGAAGAAGATGTTGGGCATGTCCAAATTTGAAAAGTTTGATTTAAGAGAGACATTATAGAAAATATTTAACCAAGTATGAGTTATTAGTGCCCACATGTCTTTGTTTAATTGGTAGATTAGATAGGTTTAGATAGGTGTATGATTGTATTTTGTACTGTGAAACGTAGGATTAATTTTCCATGTTAGTATTAGTAGTAGTAATAGGAGTCTGAAGTAGAGTACTTTCGGGTCCTTTGTATATAAAAGGTCAATAGCCTATGTTTTCGTTTGTACTAGTGAAAAATGATCAATACCCGCAACCCTTTTGAGTTGAAGAAGATTTTTTTTTTCTTTTTGCCTTTGTCTCCTATATCAATTTTTCTTGAATATTTTTCCTGTGGGCTTATGTTTGATTATTGTTTCGGGTCCATCAAATTCTAATTTTAGGTAATCAATTTTTCATTTGCTTTTATATTTATATTATAGTTTTTTTAATAGTCCAAAAAGTTAATATTCATAATCAACTCAAGATTAACTTTGGTGCCATATAATCACTTTACATGATTAGATTTTCTATATCTAAAGCAAACGAGAACATGGCCGAGGTTTTTTTTTTTTTTTTGGCCTACCATTCCAATTCTACGTAATAGTGATTGTTTTTTTTTATTTCTTCTTATAATTGTAGAGTGATTGTTTTTCCAAAAGTAGCCAGTCAGACAAGTTTTTTACAAGCATAAATATTGTCAACGAGTCAACATTTTCGTGTTCTAGTATAACAAAGAATGCACCAAATTGGCCTCAAAACATGAAAGCTACAATTCCTCCACCAACCGTACAGAACGTGCGAACCTCAAAGGGTGGTGATAACGCCACACAGCCCAAATTTTAATGCCACTGCCAATTTCAGCTGAATGACAAATTCACCTTTTTCAATGTGCATTCAGCCTTTCAACCTTTAACTATTGGAGGACATCATTGTCATTTTGATAGCAATTTGCTGTGGAAATAAAATGGTGCTGTGGATATATCATTTGCCAACCTCAAAGCATAGCTAGTTGCCTATGATTTTATCTATGCACAGTATGAGATGTTTTCTTAAGTTGGATGAGTGTAAACACCTGATTCTTCAGCAAAAGCACATTCAGTATTGTTAGCTTAGGAAATAAAAGTTCTTCCAGTTTTTGGGAAAGTTAATCCATTTGCACCTTTTTGACAGTACATAGTCCATGTTATCAGCGATTAACTATAAGGTTATAATATTATAGGATTTGTGGAAATGGGATTCATAGCATAAGTTTTATTTATTTATTCATT